TTTTTTTAAAAAAAAAATATGGAATGCTTCACGAATTTGCGTGTCATCCTTGCGCAGGGGCCATGCTAATCTTCTCTGTATCGTTCCAATTTTAGTATATGTGCTGCCGAAGCGAGCACCAGTTCCTCCTTTTAACCACTGTTTGGATCACCATCCTGGCCAAGACCCTTCACCTATAGTCTGGTTTCTCACCACCAGATTCACTCGCTCCAATGTACTTTGCTGAAGGCCCCCAGACCAACTCCTTACTACCCAAATGACCTTCTCCTTTTACTTGACACCTCCCCTGCCACTGCTCCCCCAACACACTAGCCCATGACCCAGGAGATGAAACTAAGGGGACTCAGGCCAGCCTGCCAGGTTTGTCGCTCTCTGGTTGACCCGGGCCAACGCCATCCACCTCTACCCCTTGGCTTCCCCACATTCGTGGTTTGGGCCTTCCCAGTCATCTGTGTCGCATCACCAGTTGAACTATCTCCTTACATGTCTCTCGCTTCCGTTAGACTAAGAGTCCTTGGCACAGTGATCAAGGATCTTTTAAACTATAAAAGTGAACAAATGATGAGTTAGTCAAATCAAGTAAAACTGTCTTAGGGATGTTTATTTTCCTCCTCTGTTGATTCATAACGAACAAGGGAACATCTTTTTGACAAGGTCAGTGTTCATCTTTCCCCTCCCCGGGACAGAGTTGCTGAAGACAAAAAGTGCCCTGGGCCTCCCGGGGTGAGCCAACCCTCCATCCCACCTGGGACCTCCTACGGGCCATTGTCTGAGGCTTCCTTAATCTTCATCCGCTTCAGTTTTGATTTTCGAGGAAGTTTCCTTAAAGGACCTGAGAAAGGAAGGCCAGAGTCTGATGACACCATAAGTAGTAAGAGGTCTGGGTCTGTAACATTCGGGTGGGGGGTCCTGGTAGGGGTAGAGAGAAGGAAGGACAACATCTTATCTTACTTCCAACTTATGCCCTGATTTACAGAAGCCCTGTGAGGTGGGGAGAAGATGTGACCTCGCTTTACAGATGAGAAATCTCACCGAGACACAGAGGAAGGAAAGGACCTGCCGAACACCCTGAGGGCCGGTTGGAGCACAGTCTGGGCCAGAACCCCAAATGCCTTGCCCTCTGACTTCTAATCTCTCCCTACCCCTCTCCCCGGTGTCATGCCCCCAATCCGCTGCCTTTTGCTATTAGTACTGTTTGCTCACCTTGTTGCCATCCCTTGAACTTCAGAACTGCTGTTCCAGCTGCAGTGTCCAAGAAACATTACACCTGTCACTTTTTCCCTGTTGTTCTACACTCAGTGATGTCAATTACCTTCACTCTGTTGTGCAAACATCATCACATTGCTACCTTTCCCCAGGTCTTTTCGCCTTTAGCAGAAACTCAGTACCCTTTATTGAAACCCCATTTCCCCCTTCCAGCCCTCCCTAGTGACCACAAATCAGCATCTTGTCTGTTCTGGGTAGTTCATTCACCTGGTGGTGTAGGGGTTACCTATTGGGCTATGATCCACCTAGTCTGCAGTTCCAAACCACCAGCAGCTCCTAGAGAGAAAGACTGGGCTTTCTATTCCAGTAAACAAGTAGGGTCTCGGAAACCAGCAGGGGTCACTATGAGTCACCATTGACTGGGTGGCAGTGAGTTTGGCTTTGGGGTTTGGGGTATTTCATTTAAATAAGATCATCTAATATCTGTTCTTTTGAGGCAAACCTTTTTATTCAGTTGATTTTAAAGCTTCATCCACATCATGGCACTTATCGGAGTTTCACTCCTCATTATGAATGAATAATATTCCCCCTTTGTGTAGAGAGCAGACTCATTCATCTGGGAATGGACCCCTGGGTTGTTTGCACCTCTGGGCTGCTGCGATGAAGGCTGCATGGAACACTGGTATGCAGGGATTCAGTTACCTGCTCACCACCAGGAGTAGGCCCAGCGATTCACCTTGGCCCAGTCATGATGGGCTTCCAGATCACCTGTTTGCTCATGCCAAAGTATGTGGAGCACAGCTTCACCTCTGGTGTATTTTAGACCAAAACATGGTTAGCTGGAGCTCCTCAAGCTTTTGGATCTAAAGTCCCGCTCATAGATAAAGGAACAAGCTCCAAGATGCCAGGAAGAAGCAACAAGCCAAAAATCAGAAAGGGAGACAGTCGCAGAACAACTGCCTGGGGCGGTCGGGAAATGTACGCATTAAAAAGAACGATTTGGAAAGTGGCAACCAAACTCACTGCATCGAGCTATTTCTGCCTCACAGCCACCCTGTTTAACATGGCAGAACGACCCGGTGGGATTCCAAGGCCGTGGCTCTGGACGGGCGCAGAAAGCCTGGTCTTTCCCCCGGAGCTGCTCGTGGTTTGTAACCCACGACTCCCCCAGTGGGGATAACAAGGTGATGGTTTCACTTGCGTCTTTTTTGCTCGTTTGCATGATATGGCTCTATTTTGCTTGTAATGATAAAAGCTGATATTGAAACTTGTATAACCAGACATAAAATGTCACATATTGTATGATTCCATTCAAGAATAGATACATCCATACAGACCTAATGAAGACTGGTGGTTGGGGAGGGGGAGTAACTAACTGCCTAGTGGGTAGAAGGTTTGACTTTGTAGTGATGGAAATGTTTTGCACAAGATTGGAAGCATACTAAATGTTCATTTTAAATCTTTAGTTGAATGCTATGTAAATTTCACCTTGATAAATTCATTTAAAAAATAAGCTTGCATGGTGTAAGATATGACAAAATAATAATAATTTATAAATTATCAAGGGTTCAGGAGGAGGGGAAGCGGGGAGGGAGAGAAAAAAATGAGCTGATACCAAGGGCTCAAGTAGAAAGCAGGTGTTTTGAGAATGATGATGGCAACATATGTACAAATGTGCTTAACACAATGGATATATGTATGGATTGTGATAAGAATTATATGAGCCCCCAATAAAATGATTTAATAAAAAAAAATAAGCTTGCATTAAAAAAAATTTTTTTTAAGTTAGAGGCACAGAGTTCCTGGAAGGATAGTAAGAGTTCAAGACAGCAGAAGTAAAGATTATTGTATACACAAGCCTGCGATAAAGATTGCCTACACTTAGCTGCAAATAGACAAGAGGCTGAGTAGGTGTGAGAGGGAGAGTTGGGGGATTCTCACAGTTTATATAGGTTGGTCAGAGGTATTTGTACATGGGTCTTTATCTCTGCTCCAAATATAGCCAAGAATATGATAAAACAGAGGTGGGCGAAGTTATGTAAACATTTTGGATATAACCCACAACTGAGAAAATGACTTTGAGGCTCAGAAGACACTAATGTTAACTGACATAATCCACAAAAACGATGTTTTACATCCTACCTTGGTGTGAGTAGGCTGGGGTTTTAAAGGCTCGTGAGTGGCTACCTAAGATGGAACTATTAATCTTTGATCTCTCCCTGTCAGGAGGAAAGAAGAGTGATGAAAATTGAAGGTAAACAAGCAGCCATCTATCAGAGAAGCAACCAAGTCTACATGGAAGATGCACACCAGCCTGTGTGACCACGAGGTGTCAATGGGATCAGGTACCAGACATCAAAGAACAAAAAAATCATATTATTGTGAGTGAGGGGAAGTGCAGAGTGGAGACCCAAAGCCCATCTGTAGGCAACTGGACATCCCCTTAATGAAGGGTCGCGGGGAGGAGACGAGCCAGCCAGCGTTCAGTGTAGCAACGATGAAACATACAACTTTCCTCCAGTTATTTAATGCTTCCTCCCCCAAACTATCATGATCCCAATTCTACCTTACAAATCCAGCTAGACCAGAGGAAGTTCACTGGTACAGATGGGAACTGGAAACACAGGGAATCCAGGACAGATGAACCCCTCAGGACCAGTGGTGAGAGTGGTGATACTGGGAGGGTGGGGTAGCAACGATGAAACATACAACTTTCCTCCAGTTATTTAATGCTTCCTCCCCCCAACTATCATGATCCCAATTCTACCTTACAAATCCAGCTAGACCAGAGGAAGTTCACTGGTACAGATGGGTACTGGAAACACAGGGAATCCAGGACAGATGAACCCCTCAGGACCAG